TGGTGGAAACAGGCTTCCGTATATAACTGCTGGAATGACAGCATTGTAATATTTGATTACTGAATTTAATTTAGTCTTCTTTCCTAATTGCATTCTGAATTTTGATGTCTTTGTGCATTATTGCTTTAATTCACAGTTCATTCACAAACACATCTTTCACAATTAGTAATATTTTGTAAGACTGATGAAATCGAATCTGTTTGTCAATAACTGGTACATCTACATTGATTGCCACAGTAATGGCAATATAAAGCATGAGGTCAGTGCCAAAAGTTTCTTATTCAATAGTATAAAAAGACCCCTGACCCCTCACCTGACAAGACAAAACTTTTCTTTGCTTCTGAAACAGACCCAAAATCAGCCCTCACTGTGTTTTCTCTCTCTTCCTTCTCTGTGTAGAAAACACCAGTTTCGAAGCTGAAAACATGACCAGAGACACAGCGCATAACATCACAATGCAGCGTGAGGAATTCACAAGCTTTGAGATTTTTGTTTTTTGTATTTTCTTTGCCACCTCTGTTGTGGGTCTCGTTGGAAATGGGCTTGTCATATTTCTGACTGGCTGCAGAATGAAGACGACCGTCAACTCCATTTGGTTTATCAACTTGGCGATTGCAGACTTCATTTTCTTGTTATCCTTAATCGGTCATTTAGTTATTGTCTCAGTTTTGGACAGGTGGAACAGTGAATTCATGATTCACATTTTATTTATGCTACTACCACTAGGTCTGTTTACTAATAATTTTTTTCTTGTAGTTATCAGTCTGGACCGATGTGTGTGCACATGGATGGTGGTTTGGGCTAAAAATAAACGAACTTTACTTAAAGCCAGGATCATCTGCATAATTGTGTGGGTTTTATCCATCAGCTGCAGCATTCCTTTCTTTAAAGACATAACTTATATGATCACATATGAATTTATAGTGGGCTTCCTCATCCCCCTTCTGATCATTGTAACATCATATATAGCTATTGGAGTACGAATCAACCGCCTCAAAATGGGAAAGCATCTCAAGTCATACCATGTCATTATAACTGTAACTCTGGTATTTTTCATATGTTGGTTTCCATACTATGTTTGCCTTTTTTATTCAATAACTGCAGTAGGAAATAACCGGAGTGCCAGTGATCAATACGTAGTCCGATCGCTACCACATTGTTCATTTAAATGGGGAGTCATCTCAATTATCACCAGTAAAATATGGAGTGCCACAAGGATCTGTCCTAGGTCCTCTGCTATTTTCGATATACATGTTGCCACTTGGTAATATTATTAGGAAATACGGGATTAGTTTCCACAGTTATGCCGATGATACTCAACTATATATCTCAACAAGACCAGATGAAACTTCTAAATGATCTAAGGTGTGTTCAAGTATAGGCTAATGAATATTATATATGAATCCAAATATGCAAAAGCTCATTTTGTTATGCTGATTTCTGTTTGAACTTTATTCTGAGTAAAACCACAAAGATTCATGTTTCCTGCATTGAATGGTAATTTTTAATAAAGTATTTTTGCTCTCACAGTAGCAAATTCTTATTGAAGGCCTTTCCCTAAAAAGCAACAACAACAACAAAAAAATAAGATAATGAATTATGATTTCTGGTACAAATACAAAATTGTAAAGATATTGGTTAACAAAATAATCAGTTTAACTGATAATATATAGGACAAAAAATGGGGAAAAGTGGGTCACTAGTACAAAATATTAGCACAAAATGATTATGAAATGTTTTATTTTTGAGTTGTTTTAGTTGGACGTTCATCTAACATATTTTAAATGTCACTACTTGTTTCAGAACATTCCCATAACGTTCCCATAGTGTTTGCAACATTTTAAAATGGAATGCTTTCTTATAACATATAACATGTAAACATTTTAAAACATTAAAAAAA